CAGACCTTTAAAATTGCCGACAGGATATCAAATACAAAGGTTACTTTTTTTACCAAGCAAGCCAACCAAAGAAATTGACTGTGGATTCTTTTAAGTGTGCCGATTATTTTCGAATGAAGTCGACCGACATAAAGAAGCCAGCTTTGCTTCCTTTGGACTCTTTTAAGTTTGTTGATTTCGTTCTTTTTTTGTTTACAAAGTCGGCCCACATAGGGCAGCCAACTTTGATTCCTTTATGTCTATATGAAGATGATGTTTGAAAAGAAAATGAAACAATAGAACAGTTATTGTTTAACATTAATGAAATTTTGTCGATTCTTGATAAGAATAAGCCCAAAAAAACTCGATAATTATAAAATGGACAGAAATCACATATTGTTCAATGGAAGGATGGAAATTTTCAAAAACAGGTCTTAGATTATTAGCTCTACCTTCAAATATTGTCTATCTGACCTTAAAATATATGAAGTATATAAATTACCCGGTTTTGGTATCATTACAAATACGTATACTCGCCCTTGTGTGAATAAAATTATCTATTGAATTATGTATCTAGTTCTTAATAATTTGTGTCGAAACGATCTCATTATAATGATTGATATAAAGGATCAATTTATGAAAACTTGTTACAACGCTAAAATTAGTTGGTCAAATTGCACAAAAATATTCAAAGTTTTCTCCAAGTTATGCATTTACTCAAAATCTACTTTATATAATTTTGCAAAAGTCAATAAAATTGAGAATAAAAAAAATGTTGCAGTGTTTAAGGGGATAAAAGGTTTATTTGTGTATGCCAAATATATCTTAGTATTTAGAAATGCACATGAATCATAACGCGGTGCAATATCTTCTCAAAGTCCTTATGACGTAAAAGCGGTGCCAATAATTAAGGTAAAAATAATTGAATGCATAACATTGTATTACCAATCTAAGGAGACATCTAGCTCTCACGACTTCCTGACTGAACTGAGGAGGTTTACAGAATATTACACTTACATATAAAAAGTACAAAAAGTATGTTTGTTATTTTCGCAAAACTCCTTTGATGTGAGTCACATTTCCTACTAAGCAAATGTTGTTGTTGTCTTGGGGCTTAACGCCATTTTTTAGCACACGATAGTCTATTTATCACTCGGATACATGGCGGCCAGTATTAATGGTTTAGGAAGAAACCGGAAAATCCTCGGAAAGAACCACCGACCCACGAGAAGCTTCTGGCAAGCTTTCTCACATATCTACATTCACCGAATCTTAGACTCGAACCCACGCAGACAGAGGTGAGATGGCAGTGATCCGTAACGGAGAGAGCTTTAGACCGCTCGGCCACTCGGGGCCCCACTACTAAGCATAAGAATCGTGTCAACAAGATTGCTGTGTATCGAATCATGGCTATAAGTGTAGGTGTCTTACTTTTCCCCATGAGTTCTCAATTTTAGGGTACTACCTGGCACTGTAAGGAATGAGTTTTGTCGAACACAGCCTAGGCATAAGAATCTAAGTTGAATTGTCGATCAATGCTCTGAACGTTATTGCCAGTACAAGATATATGTAAGTGCCTTACGACATTTTGAAGTTTTCCAAGTTTCTGTTACATGATAGTTGGAGCTATGTAGTGATTACCGGATATTTTCAAACATTTTTTTTCTTATTTTTCCCACCAAATTGTAATGAAATATAACCATTATGACGTGTAACATATTGCAAAAAAGAACAGATTTAAAATTGAATAAATATAAATGAACACCACTTTTCCTTCCTGGCCGTTCGTCATCATGTTCAGGATTCAATCTGTAACTATAACAATTTTTGAGCATCATTGATTGGATATTGTAATGACATTGATTAAATCTAGGTCATTTACTGTACAATTATATTCCAATAATAATTGTATAGACCATACAAGAGGATATTAAATAGCAACCGGTCAACTCATTGTTTTGATGTGATTTTATCTTTATCGCTCGTTTAAGTCCTATTGACTATCCGTCACCAGCTCATCCAACTATGATGCTTTTTTGTTAGCAATACAATAAAAGACGAATCCATCAAGTGCTATGCGTAATTTTTGTGCGTTAATGCCAGCAGATTTTTTTTCCATTAGCATTCGTTGTTTCCAAAATGAAATTCCACTCAACAGGTAGCCTTGATTGAGTTAAATGATATTTGCCTGTTTGTTAAATTAAATGCCCATTTTTAGCAATGAGTTAATAGTCTTAAATACAAATTTGAAGTCGACCAGAAAAACATTTTTAATTCATTACCGTATGCTTTAATTAATTGTATGAACTGGACATGGAACCAGTTAAGTTAAATTTGCCTTAGAACACACTCTTTACATTTGTTCAATTCCGTTAAACATCATGTTTCATTTAGCCGTTAATAGTCGTATCTTTTCATTCTGGCACACGTGTCTCGTTCATACAGTTTGTACAGATAATTTTATTGAAGTAAGTCGTAGCAGAGCTGATGGTTATAAGTGGCTATATGATTCAGAGAGAGAGAGAGAGAGAGAGAGAGAGAGAGAGAGAGAGAGAGAGAGAGAGAGAGAGAGAGAGAGAGAGAGAGAGAGAGAGAGAGAGAACGTACACACCTTTGTGAAACAAAAACAGTAGGAGCTAAGCCACAAAGGTTCTTTTTTTATTTCGTTAAGCATAGGAAACAACGAGTGTTGAAGTGGCAAAATTGAATCAAGACATAACTGTCACAATGAAGTGTCGACTTTATGCATGTGACCAAATTAAATTTAATTCTAATTTTTTACTAATGGAGTATCTGTTAAACGTAAAGCTCATGATGAATATTGTGTAAATAATATAACGATGATACCACTTAAATCTTTTGTTTTACTCTACCGTTTACGGTAATTCCCTTTGTTACGGTAAATCTAGGGACCGAACTTGGACTGAAAACTAGAACCTGATTACGATCAATGAATTTATTTATCACGTAAGTATACAAAACATAATATTATTTATTCAATCACATGTAAAAATAATGATAACATTTATAATTTAATTTAAATATGCACTTGAAAAGCATAATCTTAGTATAAAAGAGCTTTTCAACGGAGCCAATTTCCACATGCAGTAACAATAGATATCGAACAAGCCTATAGCTGCAAACATTTCCTTGCAAAACAATGGTTAACATCCACTATGACTCAGTTCATCCTGTGGTTTAGTGAGTAGAGCGTCCGCCTCTGATGCGGTAGGTCGTGCGTTCGATCCCAGGTAGATTCATAACAAAGACTTACAAAAATGGTACTAACAACTGCCTCGCTTGACGCTCAGCATTAAAAGGTTAGTGTTAGGACTGGTCGGCCTGGTGTCAGTATAATGTGACTGGGTGGGACATCATGATGCCCCAGTGCTAGACATCACTATAAACTTCCACACTGCAGACAACGTAGCGATATCACTGAAAAATTGTTAAAGTTACTTTTTTAAAAAAAACATAATAATCATCCTGGAATAAATCTAACATCTGTATCAATTCATATATAAAACGTACCTCACATATTTCTACTATTTGAAATTGAACTTGGTCCACCATTCTTATTTTTGTACGAATTGGTATGCTTCAGGGAAATTATACGGACCATAGTCATCAGGAACATCTTAAATTCTGAGTGCAAAGAGCACCACGTTGCTCGTTGAGCACATAACAATGGACAGAACACTTCAACAGCATCATAAATCAACAGCGATCCATAAGCGAGGAGGCAAATAATCGACTGTGCCAAGAGAAAATGAACATAACATTTGCCGATCCTACAACGTTGACTACCATCACAGTAAATGGCCAAACCATTGTGGCAATGGACACGTATACCTATTTCGGCAGCACACTGTGACATGCAGACCACATTGATGACCAAACTAACGCCAGAATTGCCAAAGCGAGTGCAGCTTTTGGCAGACTACGTCCAAATGTATGAATCATTTTTACATGGATGGTCTGGTAAACTGATGTGGATAAGATTGCAGGACAAGATCTCATACACCGAGGTTCTCACAAAGGCAGGTATTCCATGCATCCATACTCTGATTATGAAATCACAGTTGAGATTGGCAGCTCACGTCATCTAGATGTCAGAAAAAACTGAATACCAAAGAAGATCTTCGACGACGAGGTTAATTGAGGGAAAATGATCTCAGGGTGGTCATATGAAACTCTTCAAAGACGACATCAAGTCATCTATGCAATACTTCCTCATCGACCCTGAGTCTTGCGATGATCGCACACGGAATCGCACACAGGATCGCACACAGGATTGCACACAGGATTGCACACATGATTGCAAACAGGATTTCGCACAGTATCGCACACAGGATCTCAAACAGGATCGCACACAGGATTTCACACTGGATTGCACACAGGATCGCATACAGGATCGCTTCACATGGTGGAGCCTCATACATAGTGGAGCTGCAGACTATAAACTGAAGAGAAATGAAAATCTGATTAAATTCGTCATCCCCTAAAATATAATCATTGCATAAGAGCGTCGGACCCATACCAATATGATTTTAACTTCCCTTTAGTTCTGAATCATTTCAGTAAGGGACCTGCAACATCAATAACAATTGATGCACTTGAAGTTCTCATGCAATGTACATACAAATGATAATAAAGAAATATATTTGCACGAAATTCCTCTCTAATTTACATTTGAAAATGTTGATATTTCATATAATATCTAAGAAATTCAGCAGAACATACTAACTCTTGATTCAAATTTATACACTTGTACAATAAAACTAGTGTTCTCCAATAGTTAATATATGTACATTGGTCTCGATGTGTCTGAGCTTTGTCCTGTGCTAGCATAATACGTGCAAGTGTACGAAAAATCTTTCTTGTTTCAAGAGCATGACAGTGTATTCATCAGCAATCTGAACTTAGAATCAAAGCCTCACAAGTTACTAAACAAGAACAAGCACTTCAAACCCGGCATCTCATTGAGAGTAATAAAACCTATATGCGGTAACTGACACATTTATATCCTGGTCTAGTGGTCAGAGCGTCCGCCTGAGATGCGGGAAGTCGTGTGTTCTATCCCCGGCAGAGTTATATCAAAGACTTACAAAAAATGGTCTTAACAGCTGCCTAGCTGGGCGCTCAACATTAAGAGGTTAGTGTTAGGGCTGGTCGGCCTGTTGTCAGGATAATGTGACTGGGTGGGACATCCTGCTACATGTCTGCGGCGTGATGCTCCAGTGCTAGACATCTCTAAACTGCTACTCTGCAGACATCGTAGCGATATGACTGCTAAATGTTTAGAACTACTTTGAAAATATAAATAACACTTACAAACTTGTACGTTGAAACAAAATCAACGCTTGTGAAATATATGCTCAAGACTAAAGAAAACAAGAGTTCATTCATTTGCAAGAGTATCAATCAAAGAATTAAAGCAAAAATAACATTACTATGTCAAAGGTAAATTTTAAAACAAAATGGAGTAGTTTAAATTTACTTGGAGTGAGCATAATATCCACATACTTCAAAATTATATATATATATATATATATATATATATATATATATATATATATATATATATATATATATATATATATATATGTGTGTGTGTGTGTGTGTGTGTGTGTGTGAGAGAGAGAGAGAGAGAGAGAGAGAGAGAGAGAGAGAGAGAGAGAGAGAGAGAGAGAGAGAGAGAGAGAGAGAGAGAGACCCGAATTGAAACAAAGAATTAGTTTTGGTTCTTTAATTGAGAATTTGTTCGGTGCTTTTCTATGTTAGTTAAAACATACCGTGGGATAATAATCTTTATCCCATGCAATGGCCGGGTTTGCCAGATCCTATATGCACAAGATGTCTGTTATCACTGCACAAGTGTATCATTATTTGTAACTTATCAGTAAATTATTTTTTTTCTATATTGCTTTGAACTCTTTTGAGATTAATCAATGTTCGTATATAGTTTTTTTCAGTGACACAATGGCAAGACATGGATAGTTTTGGTGTTGATATTTTTACTTGCATTTTATGGAATCCGAATAATCTTACTTATCTACTAGCATGCAAGCAGAAAAGCTGCATGTACGTTTAAGATGAAAGGCAGTAAATTCGCAGCAACTAGTGTTATCTCTACGTTTATTGTTTTGCAAAGCTATTATAGGATAACAACATTCAGCGACTGTAATCTGATGAATCAAAATATAATCATGCAAGATTAAAATGTAAATTGATCATCTGGTATTGCTGTATAATCAAAACGCTTCATTGTGAAGTTCAAATGAATAACCTCTGACTAGACATGCTATGCATATGTATTTGAGAACAGTTAATTTGAGATAAGCCAGATGTTTCAGAAAAAAAGACACAAAATAACTGGTATTATGACAGTCATGCAGAAAATGTCTTTAACAACTAACATGGCTTGTCTTGACATACGTTGCAACTGAATACCCCTTTATAACTTTATATATTATATTGAGGAATAGATTCTTACTGTACATTTGTTTTGAAAGACAAATGCTGTCTTCCAGATTCTCTTTGATAGAATGCTTAAATGATGTTTACAACGTCTGCTTTATTTCAAGTATCATTATCTACAAGGTCATTTTTCCCTTACGATGCAAAAATGTGTTTACAACCATCGAACTTTCACGTAATAAATGATTCTTAATTTTAAAATTTGTTAAAAAAAAATCTTACAACATTAAACATCATTTATTACAAACAATTCATTTTCCGTACAGATGATGTTAATCATCAAATTTAACGTCAGGTTGACAATATTTTAAACGCAGAAATTATCCATTATGACATTTATTGTTATATAACTAGGTACAATTTAGTTAACAGCAAGCCTGTTAAGCCATGTATGCCCGGATGTATTCCAAGACTCTTTAAGAGGCTTACATCTAAACTAAAAAGATCGTTAGTAAATACGACAGTGGTCCAGAGTTATTTATGGTAAAGTCTTTAGCAACAAGTAGTTGAGTTTCACAAATATTTCAACTTATAGGAAAGCTTTCGTTGAATATGATAAAGATATCAGGGAACGGTGATTTCAATGAATATGGTAAAGATATAAGGGAATGTTGATTTCAATGAATATGGTAAAGATATAAGGGAATGGTAACTTCAATCTGACGTAGACAAATGTTTAAGAATCTTCTTTCCAATTTTACATTCAAAATAAGAAATATATAATCAGTGCAGACTTGTTAGGGTTACATAATCCAAATCATATGAAATATTGCATAAATATCGATCATGGTGGAATGAGAGGAAACAGTAGGTTCCATGCATTCTATTGAGATTATAGTATATAACTGAGTTAGCTTCTAAACAATCTGAAGGAATTGTCCGTATATTTGGTGTAAGGTCTAACTCTGTAGATATTGAATCATGTTTTCAGGACGCAGAACTTCAGTGCATGTTATTCTTGCAATAAAGATGCGCTAGGTCGCGGGTTTGAACTCCGGCCGAGTCATACCAAATACTTATATAATTGGTACTAGAAGCTGCCTCGCTATGCGCTCGGTATTTAAAGGTTTGTGTTAGGACTGGTCAGACTGGTGTTTGAATAATGTGACTTGGTGGGACATCATGCTACATGTCTGGAACATGATGTCCCATTGCGGGACACACTATAAAACTGCAATACTGCAGACATCTTAGCGATATGGCTGAAACATTTCTAAAGCCATATTAAAGATCCAAATCGTACGTATTCTTACTATAAAAGTTAACTTAGTGTATTAGCTATCAAAGCAGTTAGAGAGTCCTGAATTCTTTGTTCCTTGGAGCACATGTCCCAATTAAGTATAATTCCGTCATGACTTAACCCGACGTTCTAGAGACTAGAGACAAAATATTTTGTCAATGTGAGAAAACGTTGTTCTACTCATTCTAATATTCTAATAATCTAGTCAGTAATATATCGATGATTTGGGTTACCACATTAACATGAATAACAAAGTGTTCCTATGTTTATATTTAAAACAAGAATATTTTCACGGGACGATGGTATACACACACAAAGTTTGCCATACATTTCTAAGACAATGAAACAATGCACATAGAGAAACATACATAAAAATGACAAGTGTAAATAAATATTCTGACACAATGAATACATATTATCAAAGATACTGCAACTGTCTAACCGAAAATCAAAACGTGTGGTTGTGTGTGTGTATGTGCGTGTGTGTGTGTGTGGGGGGGCTTGTTTGTTTAATTGTTTTGGATTTTTAACGTAGCTTTAATAATTTACCAGTCATATCACTACCATGTCTGCATTGTGGCAATTTATAGTGATGTCTAGCACTGGGGCATCATTCCGCAGACATGAAACATGATGTCCCAACCAATCACATTATCCGAAAAAAAAATGACTAGAAATAACTACATTGCATGGAAAGGATCTATTTTCAAAGCTATATCCTCTATCGAAATAAGTTGTTTCGGGTGACCTAATTATCGACGTGTTTGCGAGGATATCATATGGCTGATATAATTTCTAATCTGGCATGGTTCAAAAATTTACATTTACATTATACAGTTAGGAATCACGGTACTAATTCAGTTCCCATAATAAACTATGAAAACACCATGATATTAAAAATTCAAAAACTTAAATTTTTGAGTGCCCATATAGATAAAACCTGGATGTCCACTACGTAGAGAAAAGGATATGAATCGCGGCATTTTCAGGACCTGAATGTGTTTCAATTCCGCACCAAAGAGTCAGGTGCTAATTTTAGTAATAAATGTTCCAAGCACAAGACTGTTAAAGGGCTGGAAAAAGCATCAATAAAATAATGTCTTTTTTTTGTCACATATAACTAGGATAAACTCTCAAAAGATTCTTTTTCGTAAAACATAACTTATATTATTAACCAATCCTTGCCAGCCAAACCCATATATACTCTATTTTAAATTCACCTATTTCCAGACTGGTTCCCATTTTCCCAAACCATTAGTACCGTGTGTCATATGTTCAGTATCATTCAACATATAAGGAACAGGATAGCTTGGTTCATTCACTTTGATTTAGGAAAATAAAGAGCATTTCGAAGAAAAATATTTTGGAAACTACCAGTATTGTTTGTGAGCTATGTACAATTGGTTAATGGTAACTGGATTCGATATGCCATTTTCAAAGGATTGAATTCCTACTTGACCTCTTTTGAACTTATAATTACATTGCAGTTATGTTTAGTGCTTGCATTTTGTTTGATAGATTCCTGCAAAATATATTTGTGTATAAGATGTACACATATCTCTCTTCCCCCCTCCAACAGCAGATACCCAAATGTGTCTTTTGTGGATTTCCTCCTGTGTGTTACATTTGGACGAACGAATAGATAACACATAACTTGAAACATAAATGTCAGTAGGAAGAACTTTCATTAGTTTTACCTGCTTATCACATACATTCTTTTCTTTAACGCGAAATATTAACTGTTGCAAGACCCCCCGAGTTTTCTCCTGGATCTAATAAACGTAATTATTAGTCGGTTCTTGATTAAATAAAATACTTTTCCACTTTTGTGTTGCGAACAGGTTGCATTACAATCTGATATATCAAATACTTTTTAAAAAATACTCTTAGTTCGAACCTTCATTTATGTGAGAAATAACTCTGAAGACATCGAGACATCGACACACATCTCCTATAGTTTATGAGATTAATAGACTTATCTTACAATATAATAGTTAATAAATCTTTCAGTTACATCTTTGAAAAAGGACATGATTAATAGAGTATACTTAGAGGCGTTTACAGTATTCAGAACGGCAGTTACTTCTTGATCTTGAAAAATATATTTCTTCCACTGGTTTTAAATTTTGCAAAGAATTTCTGAAATAACTTTATGCTGAGTTTTGTCATAAGTTGCATTTTAAAATATTTGATATGTTCAATGTCATAATACTTACAGTATTCCATTATAAAATTATTGCAAAATCATTTCTAATTTTGTTGCAATTTATGCATGAAGATAATGAGTTACTTTCATAATTAAGTTCAGTTTACAGATGAGTTTTACCAAGCTTTCATTGCCATGCACGTTGTTTGAGACGTAAGCCCACATGTCAAG